TCCCGCCCTGGCCTCCCTCTCCAGGGAGCTGCGGGGCCAGCCCGGCACAGGGCACAGCCCGCGGGGCGCAGCGGAGGCGGGAGACGCGATCTGCAGAGCTAAGATCAGGGCCACTCACCGCAGCTCGCCAAGCCCAGCAGCAGCAGCACCAACAGGGGCCACATCTCGCCAGCGAAGGGGGAAGGGGCAGAGGCTGCTGCCATCACCACCAAGGCAGCATCTAGCAACCACTGACGTCACAGTCAGAACCCTGCCTTGCTATGCATCACAAACAGGACCCAATGCCCAGGCTGCTGGCAGCGCTGGCTGGGGCGCTCTGGCCATCTCATACCGGCTCCCTGCCCAGCCAAAGTTGCTGCTGACTGCAGTCCCTCAGATTCCGGGACTCCTTCATATTCCCTGAGGCTCCTCGGAGACCCTGAGCTCCCTCCATGGAGGTGGCCAATGCTGGGCTTCAAGGGCAAAACTTTCCTTGCCAACCACCCACCATCCCTGCCCAGGGTCCTGCCAACCACCATCCAAGCCCAGAGAGGCTTGGAGTGTGTGCCCTGGCTCACTGGGTCTTCACTGACCCCGCCCCTTTCCAAGGTTCCTGCCCTCCTCCTTGCTCCATCCTGGACCCCAGGATCCTCCCTCCACTGTCCTCTCTTGTTTGAAAAAAAAAAAAAAAGGATTGAAAATGTGGCTACAAGCCACAGTATAAACAAGGCCTTCCTTTAAAAAAAAAAAAAATTATCACAGTGACATTGGTTCACAAAAACATACAGGTTTCAAGTGTGCAACTCAATGAAATATCATCTACTCTCTGCATCCTTCTGTCCCCATTCCCTCTTCCCTCTGACAACCTCCACCTACACTCCCCCTTCCCTTTCCCCTTTACCTCTGGCTATCATCACACAGTGGTCTGTGTTATGCATATAGAGCTCCAGTGGTGTCTCACTGAATGACACAGGCACAACATTCAAACTGAAGCAAAAGACCTTGTAAAGCTGCCAGTAACATTTATCCTAAGTGATGAACTCTCTTGTCACAAAGTCAGTCTCTGGTGGCTACTCTAATGGGCTGCATAGCCTGTCTGCTCCTTTGGTTGTTTTTCTCTTACCTGCTGGAGAAGAAAGCAATTTCCCACCACAATACCCCACTTCTCCAAATCCTCTACCCATGGCATCTCCTCCGACTCCATCCTCATAGTAATAAAACCCAGGAAATAACATTTCCACCCTCAGTGCATTATATACTACGTAACTTTTCATGGTTTCCTCGTGTAAACCTCTTTCCCTCAACATTATCATTTCTTTAAAATCGGAGAGTTTTTTAAGTATTCCCTCCTCTAAGACTTCCCATTCAACTGAGCAAACAGAAGGAGTTTAATAAGGCAAGCATTGCTCCAGTGAAATTTGATAGTCATATATTTTTTAAAGATTAAAAAAAGAAAGGAAAAGAGACATCTCACTAACACAATGGAAAAAAAATTTAGACACCCTGAGGCTACCAAAGGGACTGTTGGATTCTCCTCCAACTGCTGCTTCTATGGATATGAAAGAATCACCCACCAGACTTAGAGTATTGGGGACTCTGTGTAGCACAGAGCAGCTGGTTGGCTACATAAGGCTGTCAGCTGTCCCTGAGACCAAAGGACCCCGTAAAGCTGAAGAGTGACCAGGAAGGACTGTCCACAACCTTCAGAAGTAGAGTTGGAATGATGCTCTGTTTTATACTGGGAGCTGCTGAAGCTAAGTACCTGATGTACTTTTGTGCAGAAAATGGAGCAATCTTGCCCTGGCAGGAGTCGCTAAGGGAGAGCATCAGTTTGAGTGGGGAAGGGTCCTTGGATTGATTCCCAGACAAAGACATGAACCTGGATTGCAGGTTTGATGCTCGGCCCCCATCAGGACAAGTGTTGTATGTGTCTCTGTCACATGGATGATTCTCTCTCTTTCTCCCTCCCTCTCTCTTTCTCTCTTTTTCTCCCTCCCTCTCTCTTTATCCCTCTCTCCCTTCCACTGTTTCACCTTCCATTCTCTAAAAAAAAAAAAAAAGAAAAAAAGCAGTGAAAAAATATAATCTGTGAGGATTAACAAAAAAGAGAAAATGGAGTAAATCAGGTGAATATGAGGCCACCTGGGTGACCACCTCAGCTCTTGGGAATCAGCTGGGAGGTGTTTTGATGGTGGGGCAAGAGGAGGCCTATTCTAGGAGACAGAATCCAAAGCAAGTTTCCTAGGTTTGACTAGCTTCTCCCTGAGATGAATTTCTCCATTATCTAACTACCTTATATTTCTGTTTCCCTTTTAACTTTTCCAAGCATTTTTATTTAGATTTTGAGCTCTTATCTTTACTTAAAGGTTCTTTTTTTTTGGGGGGGGGTGGAAATTGAGAGTAATGTATAGTAGAATATTTTGAACAGAGGGAATTCACATTCCATTTATTACCAAAATTAGTCTTCATAACAGCCATGGAGTGGGTATTATGATCTCCATTTTAGTGATGAGGACACAAAGGCAATGGGGAATAATGGGCACTTGGCCCATGACTGTATGTGATACTTTTCTCTTTCTGTCTCTCTTGTTGATGTCTATCTTCCTAAGTTTTTTTCCCCACTTTTCCTTTTCACTCTATAACATCTAATTACCTCTTCCATTGCACTTTGTTTATGTTGCTAATAGAATGCATCTATATATTCATTTGTACATATCTGTCTCCTATTCTACCATGTTAGCTAGGAGAAAATGAAATTTTTTCCAGGGTATATTTGTATTTTCAGGGTCTGTCACAGTGCTTGGTCAAGACATAAAAGCTCTGTGCGTGTTGAATCAAGCAAGAAAATCCATGTGATGTGCAATATTACAGAAACACTTTAGCCCAGGTTTGAGTTTACATCTCCAGCCACGCACTACGGTTAACCTTGGACAAGTTACTTAACACGTCTGAGCCTCCTTTCCTCATTTGTGAAGGTATGTGATGAAAATAATAGAAATTATTCCTTAAATTGCCTTGAGAATTTACTGTTAGCACTTTTACAGCTACATAGAGCAGTGCCTGGTGCACAATACGCACACAATCAATATTAGTTCCTATTATTACAGTCTCCTTATAGTGAGATGAGTCTCTGAGAAGGACAGGGAAAATTATTGTCTAAAGGATCACCAATTGCTGGTCTGAAACCCTGAAGAGGCATTGGGATTGGGCCAAGTGTGTACAATTTTGATTCAAGCCGGAGGCACAAGTCTGTGTGCAGCGGATAGCCCTTAGTCCACGTGTTCTCCTATACACTTTGTTGGTGATTCAACACTGAGGGACTCACATCCTTGATACCTAGCTCAGGGCCCAGTGTCCTAGGGTTTATTTAAACTTGACCCACTCAGAAAAGTGCAGTTGCCCCAGTCATCAAATAACGCAGTGTAGCAAAGTGTGTCTGTGCTCAATAGGCCAGGACTGGGTTTAGATGGTTAGGCAGCTGGAAGATATTGGCATGTGGTTAGAGAGATGGATTTGACTTAGGGAATCAGAAGGAAGGCTCCAGTAGCAGGAAATGATCTTCCTGGCCTGTGCTTCCATGGGGGAAAAAATATTAGAAACAGAAACTCCAAATAGTAGGAGGCAGGACTGAGAGTTTGGGGTAAGGGATATTCTACTGAAAGGATAAGGGTGCATTTCCATGGGGAAGTCCTTGTGCCCAGGCTTGATTTGCCCAAGTCAGGCACAAGCACAGCTCTTCCCACTCCCCCTGCTGCTGTTGCTGGAGGCTGCTCAGGTAGGGGGCCCACACTCATCACAGCTGGAAGGCACTAGAGAGAGCCAGCTTCTCGGTTAGTTGTAAAACCTCAGCACCTGCATTTCTGTGAGAGCCCATCATCTTTGGTGTCCTGGGAAGGCCTCTCTGTACCTTGCCTAACTGTCCCCTTTGGAGACACATAACATGCATGTAGAGGGTGCTTACTATGCACCAGGACCTCATCATGCTGTAGTATTTACTGTCTGTTGCTGCCAGAAGGAATTACTACAAATTTGGGGGCTTAATATGATACCCATTCGTTATGCGACAGTTGTGCAGGTCAGAAGGGCAATGGTTTCTCTGCTTCTGATCTCCCATGGCCAAAATCAAGGTGTTGCCTGGGCTGCGGTCCCTTCAGAAGGCTCTAGGGGAGAATCCATCTTCAGGTTCATTCAGGCGTTTGGCAGAATTCAGAGTCTCTGGGACTGAGGTCCCCATTTGCCTTCTGGCTGCCATCTTGGAGGGGGTCAGCATGGACAGGCTGGCTTTGGGTAACTGTGTGTAGCGCCAATGATGCATTAAAACCTTCTCCGGTTGTCCTGCCTCCTCTTCTGCCACATTTCAATGACTGACTCTTCTTCCTCCCCGTCTACCTTACATACTCAAGTGATTAGATTGGGTGCCTCCGGGAATCCAGCATAATCTCCCCATGTTTAGGTTTCTAACCTTAATCACATCCACAAGCCTCTGGTGCCACATAAAGCAACATGTTTCAAGATCCCCAGGGATTAGGGCTTGGGAATATGTGGGAGGAATTACTCTTCCTACCACAGTTTTGTCCTAGGTCCTTAAACAGCCCAATAAGGAAAGCATTGTTATAGCCATTATGCATGTGAAGAAACTGAGAGTTCATATCTCAGGTAATAAATGGCGGAGCTGGAGTATGTCTTGCTTCTGAGCTCAGGCTCCTTCCTCTGCCTGAATGAAGGAATGGCGGAAGCGAAGCAATTGGGTGGTGGTCGGTCCCTCTCCTTGAAGTTCCCTCTGGTGCTTCATTAGTGCCGCTTCCAGTTTCCAGCTCTCCTCCTAATAGCACGATATGTGTATCCACTGATTCTCAGCAGAAAACAGACGGCATGCCCAAATGAAGATGCTGAGAGATTAATAAAGGAACTGTTTACTAAGGTGTGGGCAGGTTTAAGGGAAAGTGACAAGAAAAGGAGAAGTATTAGCTAACAGCAGCTGTTGTCCCCTCATCTCTAGTTCTGGAGGTGCAAGGAGAGGAGCGGTTAGGAGAACCCTGAGAGAAGGGAGAATCTAAGGGGGGCTGCGTGGATGGAACTGGGGCCTTCCGTAGAGGAACAGCCACTAGCAGCCTGGCAGAGGAAGGTGGCCAAGGAAATACCATGACTCCATTCGCCTTTCACCTTCCAAACTCCTGCTCTGGGCAAATCTCAACCAGAAGCTAGATGGAAAGAAGTCTGTTTATGCAGTTCTTGAAGT